CAAGTTTCTTAATGAGACTATGGCACCAGCTGTCATGGGCGGCTCATTCTTTGGTGTCGATGCTCAGCTGGAGAACTGGAGGCTGTTCGCTTTCTATTTCGACGAAGTTCGCGTGGATCTGAAGTGTTTGAAGACTCCGACATCTGACACCCTGGTTGCTGATACAGTCACCAGAGTGACCATCACGACCAATACGCTCCGTCGCGCTTTCCCTCACCTCAATAGAGATGGTACCGGTGGCTCGAAAGGCGGTGTATGGTCGTCTCTTGCAGCAAAAATGCTCGGAAAGAATATTGTTATGCGTGGTTCGGTATCCTTTCGATGGGACAGCGCAACAGATAAAGTGGTGAGCATTTATTCTCAAGCGGACATGCTAACGCCAATGCTGAATCTGCTAGGGAGTTTAGAGGACGTGTGTTGTGCTTTCAACAAGGCCAGAGTCACGCCTGACTGCAGATTTGTTAGAGTTAACTAGAAACTGAACCGAATGACTTGTTAGCCTTTCCATTTACAACAGGTTGATGGTATGTCTTTCTGACTTCTCTAATTAACTGAGATTATTCTGGGTATGAAGCACTTTAGTTACAAGGATTAATTCGATGGGATTGTCATCCCAGTATACCAATACAGGTACCAGTACGTCGGTAACGATAACCTTTCTCCCAAAGCTTTAATGTGGTGGATCGTATGCCAATACGTATATAAGATCGGTAAATGCGCTAATACAGAAAGATTTTTGCTTGAGTGATAGCTTGCTAGTGCAAAGATGAGGTGAACCGCTTCGATTTATAGCTGACGTCAAGACGAAGAACACAATCATTTACTTCATTGTGGAAGCTCATCGGTACTAGTACCTCATAATCGACAGAAATTGTTCTACGAGATCCTCGTAATATGAATACTTGTTTTTCAAACTCAGTTTTGCCTAGCTAATTCCTACGAGCGCGTTACTGCCGCCACTATAGCGTTTCATGTGCATGTTCACCGTCTTTAGCAAATGAAGCTCCTTGTGAACTTATCCTGGATGTTGCTACGTGTGTTTACCAAGTTACACGTCACCGCAGAGCTAGATTTATAATCAAAAGCGCCACGTTTGACTTGTGATTATGCATTGAAGAGCGATCAGCTGTCAAATACAATGTGAGCTTTAGCCTACAGCAAGATCAACAGTTCGAAGCCTCTTCATATATAATGCTTTCGCAAAAGCGCTGCACTATTCAACCCGTTGCTCATTGTTGCAACTTGTTTAGGAGCTAGCTTCATTGTGCCCCATCCTTTTGTAGTCGTCGCCGGTGTGCTGTTCGAGCTCTTCGAATCGATTTACAAATCCAAAGTGAAAACCAACTTCAACGTAATCAATGGATACACATCTTCCCCGACATACATGTACGCCTTGCTCACGCATCAGATTGCTCACTCTCGAATTACTTCGACACCACTCACGTCTCCTTTATCCTCCACCAAGCGCTCGATGCGTTTGCCAGTCACGGCTCTTCTGCTATCGTTGGCGTCGCTCTCTTCGGTCACTAACGCGGCCGATATTCAATGTTCTGCGTACAATGATTGGAGACACTGAAAGGCAATACATGAGAGTGACACTTCCAAAAAAAATATTACCACAGGTCATTTAATCGATTTGAAGTTGGTGCCTATGCGATGACAGAGCAGATCCCGCGGCTGTAAATCAGGCGCAGTAGATGCGTTAGTTCGCGGGTGCGTTTTTTTTCTTCTAATAGTGCTACGTAAGATGTGTAGGGCGTCTTCAGCCAAAGCACGAGTACTCTATTGCTTCCTAGATACCATTAGTAGCGATGCCCATTCGTCTCCGTATCGCACCTTCTCTCTGTCTGCGAACTTCTACAGTTTTGGTAGAATCCATAATAGCACCAATTAGATTGTTACTGTATTTGTGGTTCATAT